CTACACCTTCTGAATTAGAATTGCCATAGAATCCCAGACTGGTTTGAGTTGAAAGAGATCTTAAAGCCCATCCAGTTCCAGCCCCCTGCCACAGGGAGGGACACCTCTCACTAGACCTCTCACAATTCCTTCACCAGCAGCAAATACTGGAAAATTTCCAGCTATAGTTACACTTCCAGAGTGTCATGATTTAAACTCTGGCTTATCAACCACACAGTCTCTCTCTCACTCCCCCCCTTCTTTCCCTCCCCCCTACTCCCAGAGGGATGGAGAGAAGAATCGAAAAGAATGCAACTCCCCACGAGTTGAGATAAGAACAGTTCAGTAACTAAGGTGTAACACAAATCACTACTGCTACCACCAATAATAATAATGATAAAGGAAATAACAAGGGAAGAGAATACAACACCTCACCATCCGCTGACCGATAACTCGCCCCCCCCCGACCGAGCACCGACCAATCCCTAGTCCAGCCCCACAGAGAACAAGCCCTTCTGGGTAACTCTCAGTTATATCCTGGGCATAACGTGCTGTGATATGGAATACCTCTTTGGTTAGTTTGTGTCAGGTGTCCTCTCTCTGCTTCCTCCTGGCTTTCCCTCCTCCCTGGCAGAGCATGAGGCTCATAAAGTCCTTGGTCACACTAAACATCTGAGAAGTGACTAAAAACATCGGTGTTATCAGTGGTGTTCCCAGCCGAAAGTCAAAAACACAGCGCTGCGCCAGCTACTAAGAAGGAGAAAAAATGACTGCTACTGCTGAACTCAGGACACACAGGTTTTAATTTTACTCAGATCCAAGTGCAGTCACCAGTCCAAGGGTGGTTTCTTTTTCTTTTTTTTTTTTTAAACTGACACAATTTCTGTGTAAAAATCCGTATTTCACAGCTGCAGTGGAGTGGGCTTGATATTTCCATTTTCCAATTAAAAGCATCACAGCTATAATATGACACCGTTGGAATGAATTCCCGAAAGCAGGCTTTCCTACAAGTTGAAGTTTTCCATTAAAAGGCGGTTTACCTTCCAATAACCAACCTGTATTTACACTGTGCCCCCGCAGTGACACATTGCAGCCAGCAAAGAAATTCCACACAGGAACTACACATCGGTTAGTGCAAGGGAGTATTTTCTCCCCCGCCTTTTATATTCTGAACTATGTCTAAATTTCTCCAAGCTTTTCCTTCATTACCTGGGAATAATCTCTCAAACAGCTTTCACGTTACAAATGCTCTGGTTTAGCCCGGTGGGAACACGATATCCCACTCAGCATTTCCACAAATAGACCAGAAATTACTACATACAGCACTGCAGTAATTAGAGACAGATGTCGTTTTGCACAGAGGCCTATATTTTGTGTTGCTAGTATGAATCCTAATAATTCTGATTAAATAAGTGAAGTATCATTCTATAAAATGACAGCAGTATTTGGTCCTGGATGCTGAGGCATTATGAGAAGCCAAAACAGTGTCACAAATGCCATTTTCCAGTCACACCAGCAGTTTTTCCCTATGCTTTGCTACCTTTCTTAGAGGAACATAAGCAAGATGACAGACAACCTAAGGAAGCATTTGAATTCAGATCAGTCTTAAGAGCATTCTGAGTTCAAATCAGCCTCCTGGAAGTTTTGGAAGAGGAACCACATGTGTAATGGCAGCATATTTCAAATCATAGCAGAAAGCCAATGAGGAGTTTCCAGAAGATCCACAGTCTTGGGATATATCCCACAACACAGTTACTGCAGCATTAACATTTCATGCTGGCAAAACACAGTGTAGACAAATAAACACTCCTAACAACATAGTGTAGTGGTCTTCCTCTGATAGTTACAACCCAGTTTTGCAAGTTCAGTTTTCTCTGGGTTTACAATTTGAGGTAAATGGCACACACATCCCAACAGAAAGCAAAATCATGTGCATGAAAACGGAAGTTACTACCTCACATGAGTGTAATCCACCAGGAAGCCAGAAAGCTTCCTTCCAGGTAGGAGTTTTGGCACACAGTCTCTTAGCACAGCCATCTGGAATACTGTGTCCAGTTCTGGGCCCCTCAGTTTAAGAAGGACAGGGACCTGCTGGAGAGAGTCCAGCGCAGGGCAACTAAGATGATTAAGGGAGTGGAGCATCTCCCTTATGAGGAAAGACTGAGGGAGCTGGGTCTCTATAGTTTGGAGAAGAGGAGATTGAGGGGTGACCTTATTAGTGTATATAAATATATAAAGGGGGAGTGTCACGAGGATGGAGCCAGGCTCTTCTCAGTGGCAAACAATGATAGGACAAGGGGTAATGGGTACAAATTGGAGCACAAGAGGTTCCACTTAAACCTGAGAAGAAACTTCTTCTCAGTGAGGGTGACGGAACACTGGAACAGGCTGCCCAGGGGGGTTGTGGAATCTCCTTCTTTGGACACATTCAAAACCCGCCTGGACACGTTCCTGTGTAACCTTATCTAGGTGTTCCTGCTCCGGCAGGGGGATTGGACTAGATAATCTTTTGAGGTCCCTTCCAATCTCTAACATACTGTGATACTGTGATACTTTGTGCTGCTGGTTAAATAGTTTTTCATCCCCACAACCAGCTCCTCAGCACTCAAGTTTACTGAAATGCGGCAGGAAACCAGCATTAAATACGTGCATAGTATCCAACTACAAACACATCCTTCAGGAAAACAAGCAGCAGATGTTTTTCCTTCTTGCTCCTATTGACTCATACAGATCGTGCTCGTGCACATCAGGCATCTAAAGCTTGAAGCCTCCTTAAGAGGCTACTTACAAAAAGGCTTTTCCTTAAAAGCACAGAGCAGATTCTGTATTGAAGTCCCAGTGGCAATATATGCATAGTGTTAACTGTTTTCAAACCAAATTTAAGGAAGATTTTATGGTGCTTTTAACCTTGGGAGATTTTTGGACGACAAATTAACATAAACTTTAAAAAGTCTATTCACATAATCCCATATTCAGGTTGTTTCTATTTTAGAAAAGTGGCTAATTAAATTAAAAACTGAACTAGTGCAAGATTTTGTATGGACAGTTCTGTGCTCCTGAATGGCAAACTCTTTGAATCACCCTTGTGCACAGAAATCCCACAAATCTCCTTGTATTCAGTGCTGATGAATATAAAACCCCCACCAGACACTGATGGGAAAACTGACACCTGTGGAATTATGTTTACAAACCTGCCTTCTAACCTCATTCTCTAAATGCTTATTGAGTATTTTATAAATATCTTTTAGCCTCAACCTGCTCCAGAAGCACAACCACAGCCAGAGCAGCTCCTAAGAACTCTTCCCTGCTCGCAGGCAGTGGGACGAGCAATGACTCAGGAATTCCCACAAGGCTGGAAACATTCTGCTGTCAAGAGGTTGTAACACTCATCTGTTCTCCACTCCGGAGCACACTCTAGCTCCACCAGGCTCTCAGAGAAGCTAAGTGCCCATCTGGCACTTGGTGCCTCACCACAGTCAGGCAGACCCCTCTCCTTTCCGGCATTCTCATAGTCGTTATGTGCTGTCATACATCTCTGAAACAAGACCTCCAGATATTTTGAAGATCATGGTTCTGCACTAGTGCTCAAGGTGTTTAAAATGGCATTATTAGTTTTTTTTGAAAGAGACCATGTAGTCAAGCTTTGAGGGAAAAACATACAACCTGAGTAGGCAACCTAGAAGCTTAGTGGTTCTTTCCTGCTTCAAGATCTTCATTTTCACAACTGGTGGCAAAGAATGAATTCCAAAAATAACTTTTTCCTAGATCAGCATTTTCTTCCATTTTAAAATATCTATAGAATGTTTCTCAAAAAAGCCTGGAGAAGAGAAGGCTCCGGGGACACCTCAGAGCAGCTTCCAGTATCTGAAGGGGCTACAAGAAACCTGGAGAGGGCCTGTAGGGTCAGAATAAGAGGGAATGGCTTTCCTGACAGAGGTCAAACTGAGATGAGCTCTTAGGCAGTTCTTCCTTGTGAGGGTGCTGAGGCGCTGGCACAGGTTGCACAGAGAAGCTGTGGCTGCCCCATCCCTGGCAGTGTTCAAGGCCAGGTTGGATGGGGCGTGGAGCAACCTGGTCTAGTGGAAGGTGACCCTGCCTGTGGCAGGGGGTTGGAACTGGGTGAGCATTAACATCCCTTCCAACCCAAACCAGTTTGGGATTTTATTACAATATCAACATAGTAGCTTACATGTGTCTGCTGATTCAGGGCTGCCCAGTGAGATGCTGATAAACACACAAGGGCACCTGCAGCGTGTCATTTTTCTGAAACCTTAATATTACCACAATTATTACAAGTAATCCCATTATATTCTGACACGAACTGGAAACTGTAACCTGGTTGCTGCAGAAGAGCAAGGCCCAAACACAAACCCACCGGCTGCACTGAAACTGGTACAGAGACCTCATGGGTACCCACGGAACATCCCAGATGGAGCAAGGTGTGAAAGAGGCTGCTTCCACCTTCGAAGCAGAGTGCTCCAAAACTCCCGGCAATGGGAACCTCAGCTCCAGCGACCCAGCAGTTCCTCTCAGCCTAAACCCAGCCGGGCCTTTGTGAAAGGCTGCAAGTTTGCTGGAAGGCTCTGCATCTGAAGCAGGTTTAAAATCACAATCAAGGTCTACCTCTGGTTTTCAGTTCTTAACAGGTGCTGATGCAAGCACCGCGTCTTTTTAAGGTTTAATTATTAATTTAATATAAATCTGGTTTATAAAGCCCTAACCCAGCTGTGCTCAGGCTCATGCAAACGTGGCCTGGTTTGTTATTTCTCTTTCCAGTGAAAACCGGAGGATTAGACACAGTCGGGAAGAGCCAGCCGGGAACAACCCCACCTCAACTGCCTGCAGAGCCCCAGCATGAAACGGGACCCCCAGATCCACTCCTATCACCAGGCCCATGCTCGCACCCGCCGCCTCCCACCCACGCCGCTCCCACGGAATCCGGTCCCGACCGAAGCAGACTCCTCAAGGGGGGAGGCGAAACAAAGCAGCTGCCCCCTTACCCCAGACCCATCAGGTCCTACCGTCGGCAGTCAGAGCCATCTCGATGAGGGTCTCGGACCGGTTCTTCCCCAGCCGCTCCATAGTACCGTACTTCACCCTCCGCAGGCAACAATCGCGAATGGGTGGGACACAGCCCAGCGTGAGTCAGGGGCCGCGGCCGCCCCGCACATGCGCAGCTCCCGCAGGGGCGGAGCGGGCACCGGGGAGGGGGGACTGGGGCGCTGACGCTCTCGGGCGCGGTTTCCGCCTGTCGGTCGCCGCGGGTAGGGGCCGCACCCGAGGGATCAACTCGTTTCCCTAGGGCGGGAAATTTTCCGTGCCCAAGGTACCTGTGTTCTAATTTACTCAATTCCAGTGTCCTGCTGAAAAGGGGATTCTCATAGTTGATCTTTCCTGAGAGACAAGGGGATGTGGCATGAATGAATATTCCCACTGGGGGAGGTACGGAGGGGGTAGAATTGTTGTTTAAGACTGATCGGCAGCTAAGTCATGAAGATCACTTCCAGCGTAATGGGATGGAGGGGAGAATAATAGTCATAGAACAGTTTGTGTTGGAAGGGACCTTAAAGCTCAACCAGTGCCAACCCCATGCCATGGGCAGGGACACCTGTCAGCTTGGGGTGCTTATGTTATACTGTTAGGTGGAAATGAGTGATCCATATGAACTGGGAAAGAAGTCAGATTTGAAGGAGCAGCCTAGAATGAAGTCTTTTAACACAAGCAACAGGAAATCTTGGTCCGTTCTTAATTTACAACCTGTAACAGATTACCTTACCAGTGAAAATTTAAAGATTAGTAGTAAATCCTGCAACCTTTGATCTATAGGATCTATTGAAAATTCCAGATTACAGCGGTACTAATGGTACCAAAGACAATTTCTCTTCTCATTTCTTAAGCACCACGTAGGTTTAAAGCGGAAACCAGTGATGAGAACAGGGCCTAAAGAGAGAGGCTGAACGCAGTCTGCAGTGTGCAAGAGCGTGTACACGTTCTGCCTTGATGTGGGGTGAAACAAGTGATCCAGATTTACACATGGGTGTATTCAGAACACAGAAATACATTCAGAAGCCTTTGGTGGGTTACTGCAATATGAACACTGCAGGTATGGGACTAAGGTAGTCAGCTGCTCTGGAGAAATATGCTTACACTTAAGACCCAGAGAGTGGTTTTGGTTGGAAGGGACCTTAGGATTATCCAGTTCCAACCTCCTACCATGGACAGGGACACCTTCCACTAGACCAGATTGCTCCAAGCCCCATCCAACCTGGCCTTGAGCACTGCCAGGAATGGGGCAGCCACAGCTTCTCTGGGCAACCTGTGCCAGGGCCTCACCACTCTCACAGGGAAGGTGATCTGAAGCAGCACAGTCTCTGATCTTGCTTTACTAACAATAAATTTGTTCTTAATTTAGATCCTGCAGGGATGGTAAGGACAGCAAACAGTTCTCCTGCCTTCAGGCCTAATTGAAGCTGGTGTCAGACAATAAAGGATGATGCTGTCTTGGTTATAGATTCAGAGCGAGCAAAACCACTGTTTTGGCTAATGATACTGGGTTCTTTTTAAGTAGTAGTCAGGAGAGAGACAGAAATGAGAATAAAGCCTGACGAAGGCGAAAATGAGGAATGGAAAGGTGGCAGAAGAAACATAACTCTTTCATTCCAGATGCTAAATTAAGAGAGGAGAGAAACACTGTCTTGCTCTCTCACACTGGCCTTATCTAATCTAGGCTTGCTCAGGATCTCTGAAGCAGGGAGTATCTCCCAGGACCAGAGCCTGACAGTGCTGGTAGGGTGCAAGGCTCCTGTCCCAGGCCCTGTCCCTTTTCCCAGAGCTGGTGCCATTTCCCTGTCCCAGACAGCCTCATCTCCTCATCACTTCCTTCAGTAATTTGCAGTAGTTTCCTACGGACTGTTCAGTATGTGTATTTCACACTTATTTATTTTTTTTTCATTAATATCATCTCAGGCCTTCTTTCAGCCTAACTTTTTTCATATTCAGCTTTTACAGCCTGAGTGTTTTATGCACCAGACTGATGGGGGGGCGTTATTACTTACGCAACTGTAGTGTAAGTTGTTTTCATGGCAGGATTTCTTAATCACAAAGTTAATCAAGTAAAGTGAGTCAGTTACAGTGCTGGGCTCATGTTCAAGTCTACGTACACTATTAGGCCTTTATTTGTAGTATGTGGCATTACTGCTTTGAGAAGTGTATTTTTGGTCAGAAGCAAGACCTAAAAATGTGTCTGGTTGCTTTCCAAAGTCTGAAATGTTTAGTTTGGTTTTTCGTCTTACGGTGCAGGACAGGCTCAGCACTCCAAAGGACGCCTTTAAACAGCTCGTGACCGCATAAAACACACCAGGTCACAAGGTTCAGTTTGAAAGTTGTATTTTCTCAGCCTTTAATTTCCTCACAGCATTATATATCTCGGATAAATGCTTTTATGCCCATAGAAGATGCAATTAAAGCCAGTATTCAACCAGAGTTAGAAACAGCAAGAATTGCAGTGGCCATCCATGGGTTTTTCCTCCTAATTACATGCTCTGCCCAGCTCCACCCAGCATGTGCAATGGTAAAGCCAAGCATACCTAGAGCTGTGTAAGTGCCACGTTCAGCATGCCAGGGATGATTTGGTGTATCTGTAATTGGACAGGCTCGTGGTTTGCTGAGGCACTGCAGTTGTGTAAATGACATGGTGGCCTGTGTTAGGGAGGGGACAGAAGTTCGCTCTCCCAGAAGGAGCTATCTATGGAAGGTCTGGTGCCCCTGGCAGGGGCACAGGGGAGCCACACTGTACCCAACATTGAGGTTTCTTGTGTATCCAAGTGTTTAAGCAATTATTGTGTGACTCGGTGGTTTCACGGTATGTCTAAGCCATCCAGGACCACACTTCCTTCAAAAGGCACAGATATTTCTTCCTCCCACCTTGCATTTTCACTGCTGATAGATCATAAGGTGTTACAATGACTCAGGTCAGCCTGTTAAACTGACTGATCTTTTCTTTCTTCTGTGCTTTCAGATCCATGAATCACTACAAGGAACAGGTCCTGCCAAAACAAAGGAGAAAATGGGGAACCACACCACGGCAGGACCATTTTATTCCTGAAATACAAGACCATAACTAGGTATGCCATAGTAGTTCTGCTTTTAGTGGTCTGGAGTTCACACACTGTTTCTAATATGGTGTGTACATAAACTGAAAAATAAAAATACCTAAAGGGCTGTGGGTGTAGGTTGCCCATCACCAAAACTGACTAGCAGTGACTAATTGCACTTAAGATGTTCAGTAGCGAAGTGTAATCTTTTGTGCTAAAGGAGAGTAGGTAGTTTGTAGCCCTTATAAAGTCTTGCTTTCCATTGACAGGCTTTTTCAATAGCATGGAACTGCTTTACAAGCCTTCATATTTTAAAAAATAATGATTTAAATGCAGAAAATTGGTGGGATTGGAGGGTCAGATTTCAAAGACAGCTCTGTGTCCATCACTGCCTCAGGCATGTACTCCAAGACCTGTTCAAAACAACTCACAACTTACAACCTGAGCTCCCAGTTTTTTAAAGTCCTGGTAGAGAGCACTGCCTAAACCTTTTGGCACTGAAGCATCTTTGAAAATATGACCCTGAGTCCTAAATCATGTGGAAAATGAAGCTTTTGTGTCTATCAGTTAGGTGCTCTGAAAAATTCCCTTCCTGGGAAGGAATCTAATATATACAGCTTTTTCATTTACCACTTGGGGACCTACCTGTAAGTATGCTTTCTGGATTCCCTATGCTGTGCACATTATATGTCCATGCCACAGTCTTAGCAGCTGCAGCAGCTTTCTGCTATTGAGGATATGTATACTGTGTACACTCCTTCTGTTTGAAAAAGTTTTATACATATATATATCTATATGCAGAATTTCAGTAAGTTTTCGCATCAGACTGTGAGTGCAAAGTTAGAAGTAACAAAACAGGAGTCTGAAACAGTTGCAGGAGTAAAAGGGAAGTGGTATATCCCCTGCCCAGCCTCTTCAGCCTGCTCTTTCTCTTCTGATGGCTGCACAACCCCATGCATAGTCACTTTGCTGTGAGACTTCACCACACGTGGGCTGAGTCCCAGAAATGCCTGTTGCTGCTTCCCACATCTCCAGGAGTGTGCTTTTGTCATCTGATTAAAGGCTATTGAGAGCTAACCTGTTTAGAATAGAATCCTAGAATGGGTTGGAAGGGACCTTAAAAGTTCATCCAGTCCCAACCCCCTGCTACGGGCAGGGACACCTTCCACTAGACCAGGTTGCTCCAAGCCCTGTCCAACCTGGCCTTGAACACTGCCATGGATGGGGCAACCACAGCTTCTCTGGGCAACCTGTGCCAGTGCCTCAGCACCCTCACAGGGGAGAATTTCTTCCTACTTTCTATTCTGAATCTCCCGTCTGTCAGTTTAAAGCCTTGTCTTGTCACTGTATTTCTTTCCCTGTCTTTGAATTACTCCTTTAGAATATCAATACCATTTGGAAAGAAATATTTTAGAGACCAGTAGGGCCAGGTATCGAAAAGGCTTAGAAAGGTAAAGAGGGACTTGGATGGAAGTCGAGTGCCCAAGTCCATCATTATGATACCCAAAATTGCCATTTGGTTATCACAGGCTTTTTAGGTTTTTGAAATGAACGAGAAAGGGAGCACAGTTTCTGTACCCCAGGTAATAACATCAGTTAAAGTTTCAGCAGATGTTGGGGGTGTGGGATATCACAGCAAATTCCCATGAGTGAAGCAGGTACAGCCTCTGCGCTGTAAGGCTGTCCTAGCAGCCTGCAGGCTGGGCTGGCTGTTAGGAGGAAGTGAGAGAGGGGCAGGAGACAGGAACGGTGGGATGTACTGTGTGCACTCCTGGGAAGTCTGCCGCTGTGAGGAAAGGAATGTAGCAGCCACTAACTAAAGAGAAGGCCCGAGGGAGATCACAGCTGACTGGAGGTTCAGTCTGGGCTCCCTAAATTCTTCTGCATTTTACGCAGAGGCTGTTTGCCCTCTGACTCTGCCTTCCTGCTGCACACAGTGCCTAAAGCTAAACCCAAGCTGCTCGAATACCAGGCAGCTGCTAAGAAATACATACAGTAACACTCACTGATGGGATGGGCATGTGGATTTGTATATCAAGACAGCTGGTTCTTCCTGTGTGCTGCTGCATAGCTCGAAAGCTGCCATGAAATGAAATGGGGGGGGGGGGTTATAAAGAGCTGCAGTGTAGGGCGGTGGAATGCAGACACTTCTCAAAGGAAGTCAGAAGTTTCATAGTGTGCAAAAGTTCATTGTTACTCAGTGCATGTTTCCTATTTCACTTTTCAGTTAGCTGCTTGCAGAAAGCGGTGCATGTAAGGGTAACACCTATGCTGTCTAAACAAACAGATAACTTTATAATATACTGTTTTCTTGGCCAGAGTTACTACATGTTTGCGACACGGAACTAAACCCAACTACCCGATTTTCTCTCTCCCCAGGGCAAGGAAGCTGCCTGGGTGCGGTCCCAGCAGTGCCGCTGAAGGAGGAGGAAAGCCCGAGTCAGGCATACTGTCTTTGTGCCCTCTGAATGAGCAACAGCGGTTTGCAGAGAGCTGCTGGAGTTAAGGTGGTCTTAACAGAAGACTGTGTCCCATTTTAAGCAGAAACAGTCATTTTGGTTCTGTAATCTTGCAGTTACCCTCCCATAACTGGATTGCCCGGTTTACAGCTGCCATCAAAGCCTTCTTAAAAACATAATTCAAACCACAAAAAAAGATGACAAGGAAAACTACTTTGATGTCATTTGGGAAGTAGAAGGAATTAATCTATTTCCTGATAATAGAGACATTCTTAAGGATACTTGAATATGTGCAAAATCTATTCACTAACAATGTTTGAGGCCTGTTTATTCACCATCCTTGTGTCTCTGTGGATATAGTTCCACTAATATCACCAAACCACTCCTAAACAGCCTGAGTGAAGATCTGGTTTTAATTCTGATGGGTTGTGCAGTTATAGGTACACTTACATGAAAGAGTGTTGAATGTGGTAGGGTTGGAGTAAGGCCACTTCATCAGTTCTGACACTTAAATGACAACGTTAAGATAAGAAGTTGCATCATCTTGGTGAATTTCCATGTGCTTCTAGTGAAATAATCAGTTTTCTCTCTTGTCCTTTTATAGACAATTTCGTTTCTCGGGGTTTATTGCCCTCTGGTGGCAATAGTGGTTTTTGCTGCGGTACCGGGCCTGACGCCTCATGCTTCATTTAGGCTTTTCATTTCTATCTGCTGGTTATCCCGAAGTGATAAATAAAGAAAATCCAGTGATGTTATTTTCTTTAAGCAGAGAGGATTGTCGCAAGGAAGTAAATGAGGCGGGTGTGTGAAAGCCACAGCACTGAAGTGATGTGGGGAGCTCAGAAGCTCTAGCAAAAACATTGACAGAATCAGTTTGGTTCAGTGTGCATTGGTCAACTTAGACATAAAGCAGAACTGAGTGGTAAAGAGACCACAAATGTACAAGAGGACAAAAGTCTGCACTTACGTATCAGACACTCACAAACAGTACTTTGTGTCATCCCAATGAATTTGTGTTAACCATGGGTTTTGTACACAACTTTTAATGACATGCATCTCTCATATGTGCACATTTTTAATGTCCTTTATTACATATTTTATTACAAAGTGATTATTATTAGTCGTAGCAGCTCTAGTGTTACTATCAAGACATTAGTTGCTTTCTCAAAAATTCTAGAAAAATCTAAGGCCTTCAGTAAGGGTATCAATCCTAGAATCCCGAACTGGTTTGAGTTGAAAGGGACCTTAAAGCTCATCCAATTCCAATCCCCTGCCGTGGACAGGGACACCTTCCACTAGACCAGGTTGCTCCAAGCCCTGTCCAACCTGGCCTTGAACACTGCCAGGGATGGGGCAGCCACAGCTTCTCTGGGCCAGGGTTTCATCACTCACAGGGAAGAACTTCCTAGAATCTCATCTCAATCTCCGCTCTGTCAGCTTAAAGCCATTCTCCTTGTCTTGTCCCTACAAGGCGTTGTAAAAATTCCCTGTCAAAAATATTCTGGAAGGGAGCCTTTTTCATTAAAGGTAAATTAAATAGTGGATGGCATCAGCTTTAACCCAGTTCTGCTTTACAGAGTCTTGGGTTTAATTCTAATAAGACTCATAAGTGAGCTGTTAGCTCTTGGCTGTTGCAGCACATCAGTTCCTTCTCATTTTCACAGCTTTCCCATGCAGCTGTGTGAAACACAGTGACCATGTGGTTTCCAGCCTTTCTCCAGTCTCTAGTCCCAGTTTATCCTATCCCAGATCCTGTCTGAATAATGCTGTGCCTATCTCCCTGTTTAGGGAACCCTTGTGCAGTGTTGTGAGAGCTGCCCCAGCTGCACATCCATCCCAGGAGAAGCTGATCTGGACACAAGGATCAGTTGTGTGAGCTCTGTGGGCACGAGGAGCATCCTGGAGCAGCATGAGGTGGGAAATGCACGGGGACCCTCAGCCTCAGCTAACACAATCAGAAGGATCAGGCAAAAAAAGCAAAGTGAAAAATTTAAGCAGAAAAGATGTATCTGAAAATCAGTGCTTTAAAAGTAAGATGAGATGTATGAATAGGAGGGTGAAATTGATATAACCTTATAATTTATGTACACATTTTAAACAGGAAAAAGCAGAGCCTATGAGGAACAGAGTGAAAATGTATAGAAGCAATAAATAAAATGAAAGAAATATCAAATGAAAATCTTCATTGGATAGAAAGTATATTTACATCTGCAGGGGAACAGATAAAAGCCCTCAAAATGCAAGGTGCCACCTAATTTCATTTGGTTTCACGGAGACCCACCAGTACCAACAACGGAATTCCTTTTTTTTGTGTTTACCTCTGTCTTCAGGTAGGAAAGTTAACTGTAACGCAAATAGTCCAGTGCATAACTGTGTAATTTTTTTAGAGCAAATCTACCATTTGAACACTTTTTAGTAGCTCCCTCTCAGAATGTTAATTCTCCTTCCTGTCAAACCACTGAACTCGTAAGAGGAGCTCTGCCATCTCTAATCAAAGTTAAATCTCTTTTGTTGAGGTGGTTGCTCTTGGCTGTCATCTAGTTCTTCTTATGAATTGTAAATCATCTTGCTTATCAGAAGACAAACTCTTTGTGCCTTTTAACTATGCCATCTTGGATATCCATTCAAGTGCATTATGTATGAGGAAGAGTTTCATTTGTCATTTCTTGTTTCCCTCATTGTAAAAGTTGTGCTGTTTCACACTTCATTTCAAATGGAAAGCAAGAAGATATCACGGGAGTTACTTATCCAAGCAGTTACTGGCTGGATAATTTCTGAAATCCTCAGGTCTTATTGTATTAATTGTGAAGATTTTTCCATATTGTTGAATTTATTGCTTTTCCTGTTAATGAGCATACAATGTGTAGCTCTGGGTGCTTCCCTTTCAGTTTAATCTACAGGTAAGTCAGTTTGCTAAGATACCTGGTAGTAACATGCCTTTCAAATTCTTGAAATTACTGTCCTTACGCCTATCAGCCAACATTAAAGATGAACACACAGACATTCATTGATAGCCCTCTGTATGTAAAGGAGAGAAAGTGGTACCTGTGTGGTCTGGTACTTAAACATAATATTTGCCTTTGTGCCCTTCTGTGAGTGATTGAGAAGTTGCAGCATCAGGATGTGCAGGCATAGTGGTGCCCTGCCCCATCAGTTCTAATGGGTACAGCGGAGGAGTGACAGTGATTGCGCACAGGAGGGGTGACACTGGCTGTCCTGATCCATCCCTGCATTAATTAACACAAGTGGTGCGGCTTCATTTTTTCAGTTCAAAGCACATCTGCGCATTTTGATAGAAGTCTTGAATTAAATTACTGCTATGAATATCAAGATCATTGATTTGCAAGCAATCTTTGGAAACAGAAGCAAAGCCTTGTGCAGTATCAGTGAGTACAACAGTTCTTGGTCTGTTTCTTCCTGGTGTTCTCCTGAAACCTGTCTGACTCAATTTAATGGAGTAGGCTTTAGTTAATCTATCCATTAAAATTATTGAGGAAAAGTTGCATAAAAATTGGCCTTTCAGTAATAGGTCTGTGGCTTCTGATGTGATTTAATTTTCCTGGGTCTGACATACGGAGAATTAAAATAGAATGAAATTTTTTAAAACTGTCAGTAATCGCTGTTCTTATCAATCATTAGCCATTGAGGCCGCATCTGTATGAGGTGACTTTGCCATGCCTTGCAGCGGCTCTTTTTTTTTCATTTCCTTTGTACTTTCACAAAGTAATGAAGTTATTAAGCTTCATTCCTCCGTCTCTGTTTGTGAAATTGATGTCCTCCCCACACATTTCCACTCATGATGAGTTGAAAGCTGAAACAGGCAGAGCATTTCTCTTTACCTCACACTTACGAGCATCCACGCTATTGCTAAATGGCATTTCTGACTGTCCCGTATCATTTAGTATCTCCATACTATGGCCCTTAAGAAGTGCTAATGTCTGTCATTGTTTTTCTATCTGAATGCCCCCAAACTCATCTTTAATCTCTTCTTCTTCTTTTGTTACAATGCTTCTTAACCAGACATCTGATAATCTTTGTTCTGAATTCATTCTCAAGATCATGCTCTTCTGCTAGATGGGGGATCATAGTCTCTGATTCTGCACAATTACATATGCTGTCAGAGTCAAGAGCAGTTGCCACACTTTCTTTAATCAACACTAATCTTTTTAGCAGTGTTACCAGACAGTGGAGAATTTATTATTAATATTCTTCTACTATGGTAGATCTAGCTAAATCATCCAAGAGAGCTTCCTCCTCCAGCAGCTTTCATACAATCCTTTCCTGAAACAGTCAGTGTCCCATGCTGCCTTGTGAGCCCTTCTTTTACGTTTCGAGAAACCTATTTCTCATGCCTCCCTCTGATTGGTGTTGTTCATTGTTTTTAGAGCTGGGACATGGTATGATGTGATCCTTTTTATAGCTTTTCTCTCACAAGAAACTCTGAAACACAGTTATGTTCCCCATCTTGATTCTGTGGTGAATGGAGTGCAACCCCTGTGACTTCCTGCTGTGTGAAAAGCTGGATAGGAAACTTTCCCTGCATGGATTCCTAACACTGACCCTTTCACCACTGATTTTAATTCAGATAAAACCGAGGCTGAGACAGTGATGGGATAAACATTGCCATCAGCTGCTCTTCCAGAACAGTTCCCTTGTCACTATTCATCATTATTTTTGATCAAAACAGTCCAATGGTAATCTATCATCTCAGTTTTCAATGCTAAAATTACTAACCACAGGAACGTTGCTCCATGTTTCACACTGTACATCTCAGAATTTACTTAGATGGCAGAGAAAGGCTGTGTCAGGAAATAGAGTCCTGGGTGAGCTGTATGAAAACTGTGCCAGATACTTTTCTTGGCTTTATTACACCTGTGGTGAACTTGGCCAAGTGAGCTTAGCTTTGTGCAACAACTAATTTCCAGTGATAAGTTTCAAGCTACTATCGGTTTTCCACTGAAATCAGTTGGTTCAGCAGGGTGTAGACATATCTGAGCCAAATCCAAACAAATGGCTTGGCTGGAGCCCTGTTTTGCTATTTCAAAATACTACGTAACCAGCAGGAATCACAAGAAGCTAGGGGATTCACAATCCCCTAAAGTGTCACTGCCATAATAGTGTTGTATTTAACTCCTGCTAAAGTCACCTGCCCTTAGCTTAGTTTTTCTCTTCTACCTAAGTTTGTGCTTTGATCTCTC